AGTAATTGGGCAGATTAGCATAAATTAACAAAACACTGAGTTGACTAAGCAGTTTATAAATTGATGGACTGATTGATGTATCGTCCATCAAGAGTCCTTTGGAGGCAAAGGCTACTTTAAGTGTGGTACTCACTTAAAGGCCTGAAGTGCAGTTAGCCACTGTGGAAAGTTGATTTATTGATATAAATGATGACATTTTGACTAGAGAGCATGGATATCAGTAATAATAACCTCCAAAATTGATGGAAAAATGTCAAAAGTGAATGGCTAACTTTAACCAAGTTTGAATAGAAGTAAATGCGAAAAGTTGACTAGTGATAGTTTAGTTACAGAAAGCTTGTCAAGAAATAGCATCCTTATCAGTAGTGGTGATTTGCAGACATTTTTTAGTAAGAACTACGGTTTCCCCTGGGGTTGGGAGCTTGGCAAAGGCAGGAGGGTCACACTACACTGCCAGCCCTCAGGAGCATAGTGCTAGTGCTCATTTTCATACATTTGGGTAAATCACTCTTTCCATCTTTGGTTTTAGATTAATGACCTTTTGGTGAGAAAAAGAAAAATTTGCAATTCCTCCTTTTTCCCCAACTGTCCCTATTTTCTGTTGTAAATACAGCTACAGCACACTGTGATTGTCATTATGGCTTTGTTGAATCAGCCGTGACTAAGGAGCCTGTTACAGTATCTGTTTATACGCGCACGCACCAACTTCCATGGTCTGTGTGTGTCTAGAGTGACACTGACAGCTGGTGAGGATCATGTGAGAAATGTGACCATTGTGCACTGTGCTTCCTGGCTCTCGTGATGTGTTGTGCATTTCACAGTGTGTGTTTTTGTGCGAATATGTCAGTGTATTGGCAAAGGCTGCAGCAGACGCGCAGGCAGATTTTGTTTTAAAAAAGGTGCATATGTGGAACTGGAGCAAGAGTTTTCGTTTTCTTTTTTTTTCCCCGCTCGCTCTCTCTTTCTTTTTCTCCAAGAAACAGACATTTGAGAAGCCTTAGACCTTGAGGGAAAAGTATCTAGCTGTGCTAGGCAGTCTGTACTCCTGGTGTAGTGTTAGATGATTTTCAGGGGGATTATTTTGCTGTGTTTTACTGCTGTGAGCAGAGAGACAGACATTATCTACCACAGGTCTCCACATGTACACACACACTCACTCACAAATGCCAGCTGTCTTTCTCACAGAAATGCACAAACTCAGCATGCCAGCTAGCAGGTGGTAAACTATCACTGAAAGCCACATCTCTTTTTTTGGGGTGGGGGCTCCCGTTCTTGTGCTTCTCATTTCTTCTCAGTTTTTCCTTCTCTCCTTTCTGCTCTTCTGCTCCGCTGCTTCCTACTGTGCTGACACGCACCTACTGGCACTTGGATTTTCACTTATCCCTCTTACTAGTAATAGATTTTCGACTGTAGTGTTCAGTGTCTCTTCTGGCACCCCATTGTTAAAAGACACCTGCAGAGAGACAGATAAATAGAAGCATAGAGGAGAAGGTGGTGGACTTTGCCCACAGCATATTTATTTCTCTTGCATTAGTCCTTTACGCTTTATAAACTTCTTCTTTTGTCACAGTGGTAATTAAATATTTACTTTGTCTTGTAACTTTTTCCTCATCTGCCATGTCTTTTCTTTTAAAACCTATCCGTGACAGAAGGATGACCCACGCACCCGCCGTTGCAAGGTGATGGGTCTTTATTGATAAGGGTTTTTTGGGCACACACGCTTATCAGCTGCCTCTCTGCCCGGTGTGGTATGCACCGCAAAACTATCACTACTATCCCTAATAACACTATATTACCATACTAAAAATACTTAGCATTTATCTTCATAGAAAAGAACTTTATAAATATGATGTTCTGGATGAGAGAGGATGGACGATCCAAATCTGAATGAGGTTCATCCATCATGATGCAATTCTCACAGTCATGAGGCAAGTGGCTCAGTGGCAAGTGTGTCTTGCACCTTTATTGTTTTCAAGCATCTTTAAAAACAAAACAGCGTATCACTTTGCCATTAGCGAGTCACGCTGTGATCCTAACATTAAGCAAATGTTGATGCGTCAGCTAGACGACTGTTACAGATTCTCTCTCGACTCATTGTTTGAAGTTACTGTAAGTGACTTAGAGATGTGTCACCTAGGCGTTGTCGGTTATAGTATCCATTCACCATTGTGTGCCCGTAACAGAGGAACCCATTCATGACAGTGTGTTCAGGAAAAGAGTGGGTGGCAAGGTAGCATTCACAACCTCCAGCAAGTAGAGGGGAGCGAGAGTAATGCGGAGGATAGAGAGGCAGAGGACAAGACACTGTGCAGCTGCTCACTCACGCAGCCATGTGCGTGCAAGACGTGTAGGCGTGCAACGATGCTCAGTTTCATATGAATGTATAGTGTACATACAGGTAGGTGTTTGTAGTCAACAAAGTTTGCCATTGTTTTGCTTTCAGTCCTTGGGTAAAAATATCTTAGTATGTATGTATGTAAAGTCTATTTTGGAATTTTTCTTTGTTGGCCTAATAACAAAAGCTTGAAAGGTACAGAAAATTGGAAACACCACATATTACGTGTTAAAGAGACGTGGAATATGAAGATGATGGCGTATTTTAAAGCAACGTACATGAACAAGGACATTTGGATCGATTGTCTCCCCGTCTTCCTCTTCTTGCAATTTGTTTAAGGCTGAAATTAAAAGTACCACACCGTGAAGGATTATTTATTTATAAATCAATCATTTAATTAGCCTAGCTTCAAATCACACCTAAGGTCTCCGTTCTCATACATTACGATAAAATCGTATAAATGTGTAATCAAACAGAATGGTGATCAATGATGGTGGGTGGAGGCCAGGGAGAAATTGGCCTAGTCATTAATAGTCAGTGTTACTAACTGAATTATTACAGCTATCAAGGCCTGAAACGAGTTTTTGATGTTTTTCTCGCCACAAACTGCATTTTTGAACGTCACATGATCATGCACATTGTTGAAATGTTTCATGCCAAACATGGAAATTGCTAAATCTAACTTTTAAAAAATGCTTTGAATCAGGAGTGGGTAACCTGACTAAAATAATGAGATAACAAATGTAAATGAAGGACTGCACACTGAACATATATTACATATTTAAATATTAGAAATCAGTCTAACGGATTAACGCCTTTTATGAACATTCCCACAATATGAAATGCTACAATCAGACAGTAGTTGGAGACTGCGGCACGACCAAAACTTTTGCAGTGGTGTGCAATGAACTTGCACTGTTGCTACCTTTGAAATGGTTTCTTCAACAACAGGGACCAGGTCTGACCACTCAAAGGTGGTCAGGCTGGCTTTTCTTTGCATTCTGTCTGTGATAATATACGGTAGTTAATTAAACTGGTGAAACTTGCAATTTTTTGCCATCTATATACAGACATTAAGTACTTGTATTCAGTCTTAATTTTCCCACAAATAGTGACTTAGTTGCTCCAGGACAGCAGTTTAACTGCAAAATGACATAACTGTTTGGCAACCTTACTTTTGTATAGCAATGTAATTGGAATACAACCAGTTGGCAACCAGCTAAGTCGAGTCCACTGCTGCAGAGATGTGGTGACGAGTTGGGCTCATCCGTGCAGGCTGACTCAGACTAATGGCAACGTGTTGGCAATCTGTCTCAGATTCATTGCAGTTGGTACAAATTGGACTGAGATTGTTTGGAGACAAGTTTCCTCCCACCGGGTCACCTCTGCTATCATCTTGCAATCATCAGTGTTTTCGCAGAGGTTGAGTGTAGCAGTAGTTGTGTTGACCAGAGATTTAGGGTGTTGAGGTCTGAGCCATATTGTATATCACCATTTTTATCAACATCAAATTTACTAACATATTGCCAATTGTCTAATTATACAGCACTGTATGTGCCACTGATGAAGAACTGCAGACTTAAATAACAGAACCAGACTATCTGTAGCCATTTGCTTCCTCTTATTGATTTTAGGAGGTTGCTTTGTTCTTTATTTTAGGACATTAATATTGTAGGCTGAATTGATAGCTGTAGCAGAGCAGTATCATTTCACTGTAATACAAATGCAGTCACTGTCTTTTTACCACAGTCTTGCTTCAGCCGTGCTGCTATAACACCATCACATCAGTCGTCTTTCCTCATGTCAATCCAGGCTTCTCTAACTACATAACAGTGCACCTTCTCAACATCAGCTCCATTCAATAGACAGCACTCTGCAGTAATTGGATCACTACAAAACTGCATTAACTGCTTACACAGAGATAATAGCATCATAATTGAAATGCACTCATTTGCATAAGCAAATGGCCAGTTTTTATGAATGCTTTCATCCGCAAAGTATTAAAACAAGCACTGCATTTTAAATTCACTTTATTATTGTTTTCCTTTCCACATGAAACTGAGTTCTAGAGAGGAAACAGATGGAGAGAGACAGAAGGTGTAAGGAAGAGACAGCAGTGAGCAAGCAGAGGAAGTGATAAATCCCTGTCATTATCATCATGCCATCATCCATAGATATATTTCAAAATGTACACAGTAATCAACACGTATGATCTATGAATGGATTTATTTCTTTTTATTTTTTGATATTTCTTTTGGGGCTTGCCTCACATCTGTCCAGGAACTGCAGTTAAAAAATTATTTAGTTGGCTGAAGTGTCATATTTAAAGAAATAGCTTGTGTGTGCTGTGGAATAGACTCAAAGACAGCTGGGGTTTGGTCCTTAAATGCTCTTCTTTATCTTTTTCACTGTGCTGTCAAGCCTTCTTTGATTTGTGACTGTGGCCAGCTGATTTATTTTAAAGATGATTCCACCAGAATTACACGATATGAACTCAGTATCAAGCTCTGTGTGTCTGCATAGGAGATGGGTTTTCACATATCACAGATGATGCTAAAATTAAATCATTTAAACTACCAATCGTTATAAATAGTGCAGAAAAAACTCTCTTAACTCTCTGATTTGTGTTGGGATTCTTTTTAATCTGCTTGTTTTCCTCCCACAGGAACAAAAGGTCAATGGCGTCCATGTTTCTGCTCCCACGCCTTCTTCGTGCACCTTCTCCATTGGATCTAATAGTCTGGACAGAGAAATGCTGAAGAAGATTGGGATCGGGCTCGCGCTGGCAGCAGTCATCTTGGCTTATATTGTACAGAGAGTGTACTGAACAATGACTGTTGTGTGCGCGGTCTTTTTTATTGTAATGTCAATACCTTCTCTTGGCAGTCTATCGGCATGGTCAAACGGCTTCACCGAACACCTTTTATACCAGTCTTTTTGGTACAAATAATTCACCAGATTTAGGATTTCATTTAGAATATTTTTTAAGTGCTGATTACTTGTGACAGTGACAGTAGAGCCATTTCTTGCTTAGGAAAAAGGTAAAAGTGTGTTTTGTTTAGTTCTTACTGATGGCTACTGGTGCAGCTGTTACACAGATATTCAGTTGATCATATATTCAGGGCTTTACCATCAGTACGAGTCTGATCTGTCACTCTGCATCCTTTTAAATTGGACCGTGATTTAGCTTGGTTTATTTCATTTCGTGAAACTGAGTGATGATCTGTGTTATACTTTGATTAAAGTGTGTACAACTTCTTTTCACAGTATTTATTTTTGAAAGTGAGACATGAACATATTTTCAGAAAATGAATGTCATTTGTGTTGTTTTAAAATGTTAACCTTATGTTTCATTGTTCAAGAAGTGCTTTGTGTTTAGAGTTTTTCACAATAATTCATAGAATATTTGGCAGAGATGCCAGGCGAATTCTTACTGCTGGGATTCATTTATTATTGACACGCATTGTGTCACCACGCACACATTTTACAAGTAAGATGTAGTTGTTTGCTTCTAGCATACAAGGTTCCCTATATTCTCCAATAGGCCACCGTCACACAGGTCTAGAGAATGGTCAGAAACCCTCTGGCAACCACAGGCTGCGATAGAAAAATCCCCCACCAGTTGCCAAGTAGTTGCTGGCTGTTGCTGAGTGACATTGGTTGCAAAGAGGTATACAGTCCTGCACATCCTTGTAATTTCTTTGGTAACGGGCAAGCAGCCATTGTCACCTGTAGTTTCCATGGAAGATACCAGCTTGTCTCCAAACACACTCTAACTGCTTGCCTAGCGGTAGTGAAACTGTAAAAGTTGCTCCTTTTAAACCTGTTGGTTAAAGGAATAAAGCACAGCTTTTACTTTGCGTCACACTTTTTCCCACTTTCACTGCTGCTCAGCGACTAGATGGGGAGTGTTCCAGATATCAATCGAATGCCCGGATAAGCTATAGGTGACTAGCAATCTGCTAGCAACCAAAGCAAAGAGGTTTTTGGTGCAGCACCCTCTTTGATACACATTTTCCCAAGCGATCTGTAGTTCCCAGAGGGTTACCAATTGATCACTAGGCATGTGTGGCTGACTTGCAGTGGTATCTAGCTGATTTCCTGCCATGCCAGTCTAAATAACGAGAATGATTCCACCTCCATCATTGATTCATAGGGTTCATAATTCACATGTGGACAAAATTCAAATAGTTGGATAGCAGCAGAAATCTCAAGTGCACCGATATCATACTACTGCTGGATTTTACCAAAACTAGCTTGTGTTTTTTTTTTTTGTTTGTTCAGTTTTCCTCCCTTTCTATAATTCCAGTGTAATTACCCTCCAATACAACTCTCTATAGTTAGATTTTTTGGGGGGTGTTGTTGTCCCAACCATCCAGAATTGTTAAATAAAGGATAAAATCCATTTGCCATGAGTAAAACTGCCAAAGTGTTGATTGATTGACTGAGTCATTGAATTATTGATTGCTCGGTTGTTGTCATGCATAGAGTTTCCCTGTGTTGCTCTCTAATGTCAGGCTGTTTGGACCTACAGCTGTCCCAGTGCAAGCTCTAAAAACCCCAGACAGTTAATAATGCATGCCCCAATTTATGTGGCGCTTCACTGGGACGTGTCTCCACCAGGATGTCTGTATTTGTGTGTGTGCGTGCGTGCCCTGTGCATATTTATTTCTAGTCACTCACTTAGCTTGTTTATGGGCTTGTGTCAAAAGTTGTGTGTGTCAGAAAATGCCTCTGCTGTCTGATGTCTTGTCTGTAGGGTCGTCTTGTGCTTAATTTAGCAGAAAGTCAGCATGTGTGCATCTCTGTTTGTGCGTGCGTGTGTGTGTGTGCGCGCATGCTTTAGAACTGACAGGACTCATCGCTCTCTTATTCAAAAAGCCCTCTTGTTAGATATACAACTGCTTGTAGCCTACATACACGCAGGCTTTGTATTATCTAAGTAAATGATGCATGTCACACATTTTGTAGACAAACAGATACAAGCATGCACTCAGACTTTTTCTTCCCTAGTTGATGCATATTGCATGCACGCACACACATACACTCACAGCATATTGCAGCTTTGTAGTATATAGGCAAATGATGCATGCCAGGCAAACTTGTGCACAAACACAAGCACCAAAGCTTTGTATTACCTGATCAAATGATGCATGTCGTACACACAGACGCACACACTACCTTTTGTATTATGTGATCAAATGATGCGTGTAGCTGTGAAGCTTGTTACATCCATCCAGCAGTGCCCTATATTATTCTGCAGCCATCCATACTGTGCGACAGTTCTTTTGATGCTTTGTAAGCACATTTCCTGCTTGTGTATGTCAGTAACACTGCATTGTTCTCCAATGAAATATGGATTCAACGACACCCTTTATGTTTAGGAGATCATCACTTACTGTGAAATATTGAGGCGGGAGCCATCCACAGAAGATCATTATTCACTTCGCATCATTCACTTCAGTCGTTTCTAATAAAAGCGGCGGTTTCTGAATTCTTGTCTTACAGTTGCAGCTGTTGTCAATTTGTCATCTGTGATGTCCTCTTGGTTTGAAACGGAGAAACTCTGGACGCAAGACAAATGCAAGGGAGGCTGAACATTAACACACTTTTCGGTGTCGTCTCTCATTTGTTTATCATCTCAGTTCATTGATCTAAATGCTGTTTGGCCAGCATAAGAAAATGTTTTCAGGGGTACATCAAACTAAGGTCTTCTAATCCAAAAGAAAAAAAATTAAGAGATCTGAGATTCTATATGATCACACTTTAAGTCTTTGTTCTAGAGCTTGACAGTGATTTACTACAGGAAAAGTTACAATTAATATGTAGACCGCAGGGGGAAGAAAGAAGAAACACGTCTCTGCATTTTCAACTGTACAAGTGGTAGCATGTGGGAGGCCAGCATACGCTCACTGTTTTCATGCTGCTACACAGTATGTCATCCCTTTGCAGCCCAAATTTTTGAGTCTGATAGGAAAAAAGGTCCTATACTCACTATCTGTGTAATAATTGATACTCTACTGTGTGTGTGTGTGTGTGTGTGTGTGTGTGTATATACAGAGCTCTAGACTAACTTTTTGCCATGGGCGTACCGGTTAGGCGTTAGGCGCACACAAATTTTATAATAATTTATATAATATAATGTGTTTTTCTGGATACACTGTGCTTTTT